TCATTGAATTAAAACACGATCTCAATGATGGCCTCACCGCAATATTATGCTCGTAAGGATATATGCATACTCTCAGCGATTTGAGAAAATTATTAATTTATTCTAGGCTGCCATGTTCACAGTCCCCTTCCTCTCTTTAGATTAAACATTAATTTATTCAGAAGAAAGTTTCCTGCTTAAAGATTAACAGCATATCTTCTAATCGGTTGTTTTACTAGCAGGAATACATAGCGTTGCCTGGCGAGGAAATAACTTCAAATATAAACATATATCTTCCTACATGAAACAACAAATATTTATGCTATACATGAAAAGTTATTGAAGAAATATTTTATTCATAAATGTGTTCCTTAGATTGATAGGCCTAGCAGATACACAAACGTTTCTCCCATTGGGGCCAATATGAACAATTTTGGGAGCCAACGACAGAACCGATAAAATAATGGATATTTTAAAACCATTTTAGGTTGATTATATTGAATTAGATTAATTATATTATACTGAATCGATTGCTAGGTCTGAATCTAGGAAATTTCATTCACCGATAGACAGATATATTTTCTGGTCAGAATCTAACTTGCCTATTTATGTTTACTATTCATCCTTGCTTTGAATAGTGTTACCAGATCTGGTCCAATGCTTCTATATATTTAGAGATTCTTGACGAAATCCAAAGCCGAATCTGCAGTGTTATTAATCCTGACCTGACATCTGGGTTTCAGTAACTTGTCCACTGCCATAATTTAGCTTCCCAGTGTCTTTTCTATGAATAGTTTCATGGTAATTGTTCTGATGTACTTTACTCTACGGTAACTACAACACTGCCTTAATATAAGCGGAGACTCATTGGGGGCAAGGTTTCAATTCACAGTTATATAAGTATAAATTCTATGCTAACTGTTTCTTCTCTCACACTTCTCCCCAGCGGAAGTTCCATCAGGCTTCTTGAATATCAGTCAACTTTGATCTTCAAAATTTTATATGCAAATCTTAATCATTATCTTCTGTCTTCAATCTTGTTCGTTATTGTTCTCTCTTCTTAATCTTTTTTCTGATACCCTAAAACTCATTAATCCTTCGCGTCTTAGTGGCTTTATTGCCTTACTTGTGGCAGAGGATTTTAAAAAAAATGACAAGATGTTGGGAACATTTCTTTGTGCATATTTGATATTCAGAAAAGATGGATTCATCGAGAATTGCAGAAGCTTCAAAGTTTAGGCTGTTGTAATTGGTGGATCTTGTAAGTGGACACATCTTCGATTATTGAAATTCGTACAAATATCCATCTTATCCAGACCGACAGAGAACAGAAGATAAGAGCTTGGCACAACAGCCGAACAACAAAGCGGAAGACATTAATATATAAATAAAATGTCATGCGAAAAATTTACACTCAACGATGATCGACTTAATCTAGCTCGTCGATAGTGAGATTATATATTAAAGAAATGAAAGTAAAAAATATAAATTCCGCACAAATATTTAAATCACCTTTTGCTGGCTAAACATTAGACAAATATTTTGTCTCCTAAACGGAATAAACAAGGTTATGCTACATTGAACAATATTTTTCTTTAGCGAATACACATTATGATGCTGCACAAAAATTTAGAGCTACCTTGGATGATTAAAAGATATAATTATCTATAAAATATTAGATATATTTGTCAGCAAAATCATTATTATAGGTAAATATTCTGGATCCCGTTTGCCAGTCAAACAATTTATTATTTCATGACACACAACATTCATGACACGACATACAACATAGCATACATAATCGGTGGTGAAAGTTAAAATTGATTTCTGCGCATGTAATTCCTGATGATTTCTGCGCATGTAATTCCTGATGACTTCTGCGCATGTAATTCCTGATGACGTTCATTGTTACGAGAGTAATATGACAAAATTCTAGTCAAAAACATAAACGATCTACTTAAAACTTATTTATAATTTAATTCAAATCTTCGTTTCGTATTTTCAAATTAGTCTATCGCTTTCTTTTAGAAAATATTAATATCGCATCAGAAATCGTTTTTAAAGAATTGAAAACAAAATTATTCAATCTACCTTCACGAAACAGCAACTACAACGTGACTGGTATACGGAAGAACCTGTCCTTTCTGCTTACAAACTCTAATATTCCTTTGTTCACAATTTACCATAAGAAATGAAGGAATGTGTCATTTGTAAAATGATCAGAATCACAAAAAGCATTTTAAAATAATTTTTTCTTACACAACAATTGTTTATCCTGGAAATAGGTTTTAGAGCCTCTTTTAAAGTTAGATAATAGTACCCATTAAAGATTTAGTACATCTTTCAGGACGTAGGCGATCATGGCTCTCCACCTCCCTCTATCCTTTGCAACTCTCAAAAAGGTTCTTCCTTCTGCCACATTCCTAGACCTCGTAGTGTCATTAACTTGCTTAAGGCAGCTAGGTGTGTCATGCATTGTTTTCCTTTGCCCCTTTTTCTTCTGTTCGACCCGTGAGTATCAGATTCATCAAGCCCTCCTTTCTTATGTGTCCCAGAAACTTCAGCTGCCTCGTCCTGATGTAAATATAGGCCTCCATCTTGTTCGCAACCGCTCTAAGGCCTCATCGTTTCTCACAAGATCGGTTCATGATATCCTTAGTATCCTTCTGTAGAACCATATCTCCGTCGCCTCGAGTCTCTTCTTTGAGTAAATCGACAAACATTCACTGCCGTAAAGAAGGGCAGATGTCACGTAACAGCTCAGTATTCGTTTCTTCGTTATCAAGACCCCCCACTGTTCAGCACATACTTTCCTATTTGAACGGTATAATGCAATCTAAATATTGAGGTCGTCTTATGAGGCTTAACCTATCAAGAACGTCTAGAAATCTACATAAATATTTAGTCATTTTCGGTTAAATGAGAGAAGATTCCATAAACGTTTATAGATAACTTTCGCAGTTAATAACATACTAGGCCATAATTACAGTCACCTATCTCACTGTAATATAAACATTTGCCAGTACAAAAATATACATATTTGGAATTTTCTTTACCGTTTAAAAATATATCACATCGATATTTATCGCCTATGTGGGTTAATGGATATTTTACAATATAAATATTTACAGACTTCTTTGCTTGATAAATGAATTAAAGCAACAAGTAGTTAGACGCACTTTTAAGATAATTAGGAGAAGAAATAATCAGTGTAGCCTATGACTTCATAAATAATATTATTCTATATTTATAATTAGAGCATTTGCATTTTAGACTATAAAACACTACATGAATATTTAGAGTTTCCAAATCAGGGTAAACGATATAAAGCTATGGAGATAGAGTTTTCATTGCCAGAAATTTTATTTTTAAAATAAAATATATATATATATATATATATATATATATATATATATATATATATATATCTCCTTTTATGATTCCACGTATATGTAGAGCTTTTTTGCTGTTTAAATGGTATAATACAATACAAATGCTTAGTAGTTAAATCATAACTACTTATATATTAAAAGCCTCATTTGCTATAACAATTTGCTGCTTAAATTATAATGCCAGTTCTACAATATAATCCTGAATTAAATATATTGTATATATCTTTTATATATAAAAATATATATAATATATTCTTATGCAAGTTATACAATATAATTCCGAATAAAAAGAGCTTCGTTTGCCGATTAAATTATACAATGGCACACAATGAGCCTCCTTTGCTGGTTATAGAATAGAAAATGACAAATATACAGAGCTTTCTTTTTCGGTTAAACAATATAATGTAACAAATATTTAGAGCTTCTTTTAGGAGTTAAATAGAAGACTGTGTCAATAAATAGTGTTTCCTTTGGTAATTCAAGAATTAATATCATATAAATATGGCGCTTTTTTGCAGGTTAAACAATGTAAAACCACATAATATTAGGTTTAACGATAACTTACCACATATATTCAGAGTATCGTTTGCTGGTTAAACAACTTGATACTATATAAATATTTACAGAGTCCTATGCCAGTGAACGTATAAGCTAGATAAAATTTTAAGAGTTACTTTTCGGTTAAATTGGCAAGTGAATGATAAATCTCTACATAAATATTTAGAGCCACCTATTCCAGTCAATCAGTTATGGGCCATGCATGATACACGCTTAGGCGATCATGTAACTTTCGATACATGACGAGGCAAAGTTTTTTTTCCCGCAGTAGGTTGCCATTTCTTTCTGTAGTAGATCAGCTGCCATCCAACGCTATAGAACCCGAAAAGCTTGATGGGGGTGGGAAGAAGAGAATTCATACCTTTCCCAAGGGTAGCACGTAAGTGAATGTAATGGATTCGACTGGAATTCGAACGTGGCTCTCCGATTCCTATCCATTACTCCACCGTACTTCTGTTGTTGTATGTATCTACAATATTATGACTGGCGACGGACTATTCTGCAAAGGAAAATCAATGCCACAAAAAAGTAAGTTTCTTTTTTGACAATAAAGAAAATAACTGTTTGATTTTTATGTCTACCTTGAAGATTATTGGTGTCAGACAATCTTATGTCGTTTCTTTATTTCGAATGCTACTATTTGGTGACACATAATACAAAGTAAACTAAAGCACCAAAAGGCAGAATTCAGTGCATTCTGAAAATACTTCCCAATAGAAATGCCAGTAGGAAAAATACATGCAAATCTCATTGTACAAAAATCACGTAATCTTAGAAATATTGCAGTTGATAACTGAATAGCTTTTGTGACCTTTTATCTAAAATCTAGTATTTTTCCTTTAAGACTGTTTATAGTCATATATTGTTAAGAAGAAAAGAGCAAACGCCAGTTTTTTTCTATTTTGAAAGGGAATATGAATCCATTGCTATTTTGATAGAGAAGGAACGCAATCACGTTATTTTGAATTCTTATATTGAATCATATGATTTTCTACAAAACGAATGAAAAAAAAATAAAAAATAAAAAAAACAAACTTTTGTCACTTGTAAATTCATATACGAAAAAGATGATTACTTTGAGAAAGTAATTTTATATATTTTAACCAAATAAAATATATGCAGAAAGAGAAAAAAGGGTAAAGCGAGAGAGAGAGAGAGAGAGCAATAGTAAGAGACAGAATGCCAATAGGAGAGACAGAATGCGAATAGGAGAGACAGACAGACAGACAGAATGCGAATAGGAGAGACAGACAGACAGACAGAATGCGAATAGGAGAGACAGACAGACAGACAGAATGCGAATAGGAGAGACAGACAGACAGACAGAATGCGAATAGGAGAGACAGACAGACAGACAGAATGCGAATAGAGAGACAGACAGACAGAATGCAAATAGGAGAGACAGACAGACAGACAGAATGCAAATAGGAGAGACAGACAGACAGAATGCGAATAGGAGAGACAGACAGACAGAATGCGAATAGGAGAGACAGACAGACAGACAGAATGCAAATAGGAAAGAGACAGACAGACAGACAGAATGCAAATAGAATGCAGATGGAGACAGACAGACAGAATGCGAATAGGAGAGACAGACAGACAGACAGAATGCAAATAGGGAGAGACACAGACAGAATGCGAATAGGAGAGACAGACAGACAGAATGCGAATAGAGAGACAGACAGACAGACAGGATGCAAGACAGACAGAATGCGAATAGGACAGACAGACAGAATGCAAATAGGAGAGACAGACAGACAGAATGAAATAGGAGACAGACAGACAGAATGCGAATAGGAGAGACAGACAGACAGACAGAATGCGAATAGGAGAGACAGACAGACAGAATGCGAATAGGAGAGACAGACAGACAGAATGCGAATAGGAGAGACAGACAGACAGACAGAATGCGAATAGGAGAGACAGACAGACAGACAGAATGCGAATAGGAGAGACAGACAGACAGACAGAATGCAAATAGGAGAGACAGACAGACAGACAGAATGCGAATAGGAGAGACAGACAGACAGACAGAATGCAAATAGGAGAGAGACACAATGAGAATAGGAGAGAGAGAGAGAGAGAATAGGAGAGAGACACAATGAGAATAGGAGACAGAGAGAATGAAAATAGGAGAGAGAGAGAGAGGGAATGAAAATAGGAGAGAGAGAGTGAAGTGAGAGAGAGTGAAGAGAGAGAGTGAAGAGAGAGAGAGTGAAGAGAGAGAGTGAAGTGAGAGAGAGTGAAGAGAGAGAGTGAAGTGAGAGAGAGATAAACAGAATATGAGAGAGAGAGAGATAAACAGAATATGAGAGAGAGAGAGATAAACAGAATATGAGAGAGATGAAGACTGTAAGACCCAGACACTGAGATAAAAAATGTCAGTAAGACCGATAGACATAAACAGATACAGACAAAGTGCAAAGGAAAGACAAACAAAGTCACTATGTCAAGCAAAGTCAGAGATAGGGAGCCACAAAGAGGCACAGAGATAGGGAGCCACAAAGAGGCACAGAGATAGGGAGCCACAAAGAGGCACAGAGATAGGGAGCCACAAAGAGGCACAGAGATAGTGAGACTGAAAAAGACACAGTGAGGCAGCAAATGAAAGACGGAGCGAAAATGATATGAGCAAGAACACTTCAGAAATATTTCATCGTCATTGTCAATTTTATTAACTATTCTGATGTATATGTCAGACTTATCACACTTTTTAAAATATTTTCCATTTGTACATCTACTTTTCTTTTTCTAAATAATTTTATACTTTCAAATCTAAAATGTTTTCACATGTGAGTAGCCACTTGAGAAAAGTTTGAACTCCATATAACTAAGTACTTTGGCTATTATGGTATATATATTGACAGACTTAAATATTTAATATGAATAGAAAAATGAAACAAAAATTAAGACTACGTAAAGTTCAAGAAATTACATTGAGAAAATTAGGGAGTCGAAAATAAAGAACCAAAAGTTCAACACGGGAAAAGAACGGAACTATTTTAAACATGGATGCAGACAAAAATCACAAATATATTCAAGTATAAAAAAAAGGAAAAAAAAAGCGATGGTTTAGAAATTGAAGACGGAAAATATTACAGTCATCTTTAAAAATATTGAATTTTCTTTTTGTCTACAATTTTTATAAGCCTGCTATTTTGTAAAGCGACATTATACGCAATTGCATTCTTCGATATTCTTTAATAAATCAAGTCGCATTTCCAATAATAGATTGGGTTATGCTGTTTGCAATTTAAAATATATCCTCAAGGGATGTGAAATCACTGGTTTTGATAAACTCAACAGAAAATAAAGTTGAATCAAAGTAACAGTAAAAAAAGAAAGAAAAAAAAGGCGAGTTTGGCTTCAGAATAATAATGAAAGACTACGACCCACTCTAGTAGGGGTTGTTTTTGCGTAATATCTCATCTTCTGATCGCTGTAGTGCATTTAGAATTCTATAAAGATCTTTTACAACGAAGTGTCCGCTGATACGCGAGATGCTGACAGAGTGCATACAGTCATTTTTGTAGCCGCTTATTTTTAGTTTGGTTGTTCCTTGTACATAATGTAATACAAGTTTATGGCAAGGTAGATTTCATAATTGTAATACTCGAGAAAAGGTCATATGAATACCCTGAACATATGTAATATTATTTACATTGGTCAGACGTTTGTCTTCATCTTTTTTGTCATATTCATAACATTAAGGCCGTTACACGCGCCGGTCTTCTTCAAGTGATTGGAATTTCGAACTGAACCCTTTATTTTGTCCAACGGGGTAGTTTTTTTTCTAGTTCCACATGCTATTCTGGATGTCTGTTATCTAACTGTAACTCGACGCTCCAAGATTTTGTTCACCACTGCAGTAGCCAGGTATTGAACTCACAACACTGTGGTTCAAGTCACTGGATTCAAACAAAGCTTTTATCGACTAGGCAGGTGTCCATGAGGAAACCTCTTGATTATGGCAATGAAGAGAAGGACAACAGTTCGAACAATGTAAATAATATCAATACCTCATATAAGAAATAAGACATTGTATTTGAGGTTAAGCAGTTGATATTCAACCATAGTAGCAAAATAGAAAAAACGTGTATATGAGTGTGTGTGTGTATATATATATATATATATATATATATATATATATATATATATATGTGTGTGTGTGTGTGTGTGTGTGTATGTGTGTGCGCGCGTTTTGAACATTAAAAAAAAGGTAATTATAATTTTCAGACACACTGGTTTGTATATTAATGTTTTTTGTTTTATCCTTTCAATTAGGTTCCTCGACTAGTTTCGGCAATCATGGGCATCATCAGGAGAAAGAAAATCTCTGGTTATTAATAGCAGTGAACAGTGAAGCGGGAATGAATGACTTTCTGAAGAAAATGAAATTTATCTGTAGTTTTCATTTGTCTTTTTAGCGTTAATTTTAGTCAAACTACTTGTGTGTGTATATATATATATGCAATTGTTACTTATTGAAAGGCGTTCAATATCAGTGACAGAGCTAGCATATGTAGTTGGAGAGAGCGTGAAACCCAGTCACACAATCACATCAATCCAATATATATTAACTAGGAAATGAATTTATAAAGCAGTTTTGATAAAAGAAATAGCTAAAAAAACAAAAAACAACCGGTTTCGTCCCAGGACTTAACAAGGTTATTTTTCTGGGAATAGAAAATTTATAAAAGCGTGTAAATTAAATTAACGAATGGAATGGAAAAGAAAAAAGAAAAATCAATTTCAAGAAACTAGAGTCCAATAACATTCAGACCCAGCAGGCATTCCCTCTGTTTACAAAGGGAAGGCTCATGGGATCTGATATACAAGGGCTCTAGGACCTTGAAATGTGGAGTGTGATCTAGATAAAATAAAATAAAATAAAACAGTCCGCAAAATTCTCAGAAAAAAAAAATGCCTTATAAATTTTGTCTTTTCCAAGCTATATATATATATATATATATATATATATAATAAAATAATATATATATAAATAAATATAAAATATATATATAAATATATTATATATATAAATATATATAAATAAATATATATATAAATATATATAAATAAATATATATATAAATAAATATATATATAAATATATATATAAAAAATATATATAAAATAAATATATATATAAATAAATATATATAAATAAATAAATATATATATAAATGTATATATATATATAATGTATAAATATATATATATATATATAAATATATATATATATATAAATGTATAAATATATATATATATATATATATATAAATATATATATATATATATATAAATATATATATATATATATATATATATATATATATATATATATATATATATATATATATATATATATATATATATATCAATCACGTTGGAGTAATGAACAGAGGTTTGGATTGAGGAATCGGGGAGCCGAGTTCGAATTCCCGTCGAATCCATTACATTCACTTACGTGTGAATCCTCCTCTCTGTATTCGTCCCTTCAAAAAGTGTGGATTGTCTTACCCGAGACCTTCACCACTATAATCAAATCTCATGTGCTTCTGTCGGTCTTCTAGGAACTGATATTCTTGACCCTCATATGTCGAATTCGACGGGAGTGTCGTGTGTATTATAGTTAAACTTCCTATAGCTAATAGACTACATACGAATATTTCGAGAAGGGATATCAAAGAGTAATCATGAAATACAGAGACGTTTGAAAGGACAATAGGTTTGACCACATGGAGAGAAAAATAGAGTAAGGAAAGCGACAAACAGGTAAAAAAAAAACTTTAAATACACGTGTCTGATTAAATAGATATTAATATTTAAAAAATAAAAAAATCAATTTGACACGGATCTCTAATATGTAACACTTAAGAAACAAGAAGTAGAGAATATATTTCCGAAAAAAAAAAATAAATAAAAAAAAAAAAATAATGAAGGAAAAAACTGCAAAATGTAACCCGTGTGGTTTGTAAAATTTTATATAAAATATCAGCATTGGTAATCGACATTGAAAGTTGAGGGCAACGAATCAATTCAAACTACATCTGAATTCATTTGTTCGAACCATGGAAAGTTTAATTATTTTGATTTTTTATTCTAATATTTCATTTACAATTTGACTAGTATTAAATTCTTTAACTTTTCAGCAGGAACTTGTTAAAAATCTCGTCTTCAAATATCACAACGCAGGCAAATATTTGGAGCAAAGGTACATGCATAATAATTTTGCTTTTTTTTTCTCTTTTAATTATTATTACAGCTATTGCTATTCAGTAGTTATTATTCGGTAGGTGAAAATTTTGTCATTACGATTTGAGGAACCACTACAACGGCCTTATTTTCCATAATATTTGTTTACTATACAAAACCAACAAAAAGTTAACTTTATCAAATTTCAAAGCAAACATTATGGATAGTATCCGCTCGATGTATAGCAGTATTAAATAAATTGAATTTAACTCATGTTTAGCTAAGAAATAGTTTAAGTTAGAATTTTCTAATGTAAATACTTATGGGTAGAATGAAGTGATAAGATAATGCAATATAAAATTTGTCAGGATTATGAATTTCCATTTCCGTTTATAGCTGATTAATCAAAATATTCGATAAAAAAAATTGTGGCTTTGTATTAATCCTGAAGATCATATCCTTAAAGTACATTCTCCGAAATGCGTCATATGTTTTTGAAGTGGGGTGGGATATAAACAAGCAAAATAAAAGAGGGGGTGGAAGTAGCAATTGATAAAACTTTACAAAAATATGGTGGGATTGTTAAGATTTCCTGTCTTAACACAAATATTACCCACCATGTTGCAGCCTCGGGTATTCAAGAGCAAATTTGCACTTGTATAAATATGGCTTCCCAACGATGTTCGTGAAGCACCAATTTCCCTCAAATATCTTATCGGGTGACACAACAGTATCATCAAATAGAACAGCAATATAGAAATATTGAGAAATTAATTAACCGAACAAAGTAAATAGACAAATAAAACTTACATGTTCAGCTGGCGTCTTACCAGAGTAATAGCAGCAGAATGTTAATAAGGGGGAGGCTATTCTTTTATAAAAATTTCTTAATTTACATACATACTTTTTTTCACTCTCTTCTTGTTCTTCGTCTTCTTCTTCTCCTCCTTCTCCTTCTCTTCCTCCTCCTTCTTATTATATTCCTCCTCCTTCTTGTTCTTCTTCAACTCCTCCTCCTTCTTGTTCTTGTTGTTCTTCTCCTCTTCCTTATTTTCCTCCTTATTCTTCTCTTCCTCCTTCTCCTTCTCTTCCTCCTCCTTCTTGTTCTTATTTTCCTCCTCCTCCTCCTTCTTGTTCTTCTTTTCTCCTCCTTCTTATTCTTGTTGTTTTTCTTCTCCTCCTCCTTTTCTTCCTTCTCCTTCTTATTCTTCTCTTCCTCTTTCTTCTTATTCTCTTCCTCCTCCTTCTTGTTCTTCTTTTCCTCCTTATTTTCCTCCTTCTCCTCCTTATTCTTCTCTTCCTCCTTCTTATTCTCTTCCTCTTCTTCTTGTTCTTCTTCTCCTCCTCCTCCTCCTTATTTTCTTCCTCCTCCTCCTTATTCTTCTTCGTCTCCTTCTTATTTTATTTCCTTGGATTTCTAGTGTATACTCATTTCTTTCTGGTTGTTTTATTCCCCTCCTCCCACAGACGATAAATTGTACTTATGGGGACTAGTTAGTATTTTCATGGAGACATTGAGATTTTATGGTGGATGTGGTAAGAAAGGTACGTAAGAATGGCTTGTTTTGGTGCAAGGAATATTGTTTGTGGCTAGCTAAGTTTAAAGAAGACCGTCCCTTTTCCCCTTCGCCATTTCGGCCTTGTTCCACGTTTTCTGTTAATTCAGAAATAAATATACTCATTTCTTTCTTGTCTTAACCAAAGACCTAAGGTCAGAAATGGCATCGTGACATTCGCACTGAAAATTTGTTTGTGGAAAAAAACAAACAAAAAAAAACTAAGATCAAACAGACTTTATATAGATAAAGCCCTTCGTAATATGTGAGCTGTAATTGTGAGTACAATCTTTTGTATTTCTTTAAGGCTTGTACTACAAGGATCACTCCAGTGAATCTATCGGAACTTTTCCCAATCAAACCGAGGGCGTCAAGTACAACTACAACTAATACTATTATTATTATTATTATTAGTAGTAGTAGTAGTATCGGCACTACTATTATTTTTTATATAATTCCGTTTATACTCGAGTATAGTGCGACTTTTATGATCATTTTTTTTTATGCAGAAAATACGAGGTCTTACTGTGGCACCATTTACCGAGGCAGAAAAAGAAAAGAAAGAAAAGAAGGCAAAAGAGAGGCGAGACCCAAAACGTGGATGATAAGCAGAACACCACGGCTAAGAGACAATGGTTAAAAGGATATTTTGATAAGTAAGAAATGGCGAAAGAGTGTCATTACAATGACAGGGAA